GGAAAATGTTAGTAAATTCAACAAGCCCCTAACGTACGCTCATAATACACAAAAATTAAAATTCCAGCATAAAAAGACAGCACATAATTTCTTAAGTTTTAATTTACTCTTTGTCTGTGTTGTTTACAGCATGAAACGATTTTGGTTAAATATATAAACAATGCACATGTTATAAAAAAAAATTATAAACAAACAAAAAATACATGAAAATGAACAAAATAATAGGAACTTGCATAAATTGAACTCTTAAAAACAAAATAACATTTAATCCACTAACCTGCGATCTCTCCTTGACACACACACTAATAACAAATTGGATTGAACAATCAGTTTATTGCAGAATAAACTGAAAATTGAATAATGAATATTTACAGACACGCGTTTAAAGGAACCAGTCTAGCTTCTCTTCTAGTCTAATGCCTCATCGCCTCTCTCCAGCTCCCGTTCGCAGTACCGTTTCTTGTGACTTGAACGCGGCGCATACATGGTTGCAACATTTTACTTTTATTCAGTAAACGTTTTTCTAGAAAAAATTAAGATTTGAAGAAATAATATTTTAAATAGGTGGTTTTCCTCACATTATTTTCTGATGTTAACGTCGTAGGCTCTTTAAGATTGGCATTACTTCATATACTCGCAATATATCGTGTGCGTAAATTTTATTTATTTTTTCCTTTATTTCATTTTATCGATAAGATATTTTTGTTTTTTTTCCAGAAAACGATGGAGCGAATGATAATTATTGTTTTGATTCCGAAGATGGAGACTAATGAAATTCAATAAGTAATCCATATTTGTTAAGAAAAATAAAAATTTATATTTTGAGCCATTTTGTGTCCAAGAATTCGTATCCTCTCATTCTGACATTGGAACCCGTATGTCTGTTGCGCTCGCACTCCCATCGAGCTTCATAACTATTACATGCTGTTCTGGCAGATACTTGCAACCGTCAGAATAGGCTTGGTTTTTACATATACTTTTTAAATTAATAAAACAATATTCCCTCAAAATTTCAGTCTTGTGGGAGCAGGTTATGAATTATCATTCCTATAACAACTTTGCTATCTTCTGGCACATACTTGCAACCCTTGAAATAGGTTGTCAATTTTTTTTTACACTTAAACATATGCAAATTAAAACATATAAAAATTGTAGCCTTGTTTTTTTAAAAAAAAAAAAAAAAATACATTTTCAAAAACTTGAGCGATGCTGACGCAACCACGAGACGGCTGCCAGAACAGCACTTTCTTAATTACCGATATTAAAACATTATTCAAAAAAATTCTAGCTTTGTGGGAAATGGGTTAGTCGGATGAACCGCTAGCTCTCCTACTATAAAGAGAAGAATTTACTAACTTTTGGGGAGCCTCCGCAAAAACCTGCCCCCGACCTGTTATCCATTCTGGAGCCATCCGTGTACCAGATAGCTCCACTATTTAGTACAGTTGGATCGGAGCCGCCCAGCCATTCACTTCTTTCAGTGATATGGGCCTCCAAGCCTTTGCTATGAACAAGTTCCGGTCGCATGATATCGCTGCCCATCAGAAGGACAGGACATTTCTTCGCGGCCTGGAACCAAATTCTGGCGTGTCCGGTTTCGCCGGTGCCCATTTTGTCAAGGACGTGCAACCTATAGGCTGTCCTCATGGCCCCGAATTGAATCACGAGGTCCAGGGGCGGGAGACCTAGGAGGGTCTCCAGGGCCCTCGTAGGGGCTGTACGCATAGACCCTGTTATGCTGAGGCAGGAAAGGCGCTGGACTCTGTCCAGTTGCGCCCGTATTTTGGCTTTCTCCGTGCAATTCCACCAAACGATAGCCCCATACGTGAGAAGAGGTTTAACTATAGAGTTATGAATCCAGTAAAGGATCTTCGGTGAGAGACCCCAGGTGCAACCAAAGGCCCGTCTGCAGGCCAAGAGGGCAGGGGTAGCATTTTCCATCCTGTTCTCTGCGTGTTCATACCAGGACAGTTAAGGCTCCAGCATCACGCCTAGATACTTAACCACCCTGGAGAATTTAAGAGTCACACCTCCCAGGGAAATGTTGGGCGGTGTGCCGAAGTTGCGTCTCCTGGAGAAGAGTATAAGGAGCTCAGCCTTATTAGGGTTTATCCTGAGTCCTTCCGCAAGGCATCACCGGTCTACTTTGCGCAGAGCCCTTGTCATAGGGCCACACCGCCAGGCACCACAGAATCGGGAATAGAACTCGGCACTGCGAACAGCCTCTGGCGGCCACCGCACACTCGGCGTTGCGAAAGCATGGCCTCTATCCATCTCACCAGACAGGGCTCTAAGCCACGATCTTCGAGCGCTCCGCAGATGATGTTGAAAGGGGTATTATCAAATGCCCCTTCAATGTCAAGGAATGCTGCCAGACTGGCCCCTCCACACACCAGATTTCCTTCCACCTTCCTGACCAGGTGGTGCAAGGCCAGTTTTGTGTACTTGCCAGTCTGATAGGCGTATTGTTGGGTGTGTAAAGGTCTGAAAACCTGTATGCCTTCCTTCACATACCGGTCCAGTAGCCTCTCCAGAGTCTTGAGCAGGAAACAAGTGGGCTAATGGGTGGATACGATTTTGGGTCGGAGTAGTCGCTCCGTGCGGTTTTCGGAATGACGACGACCTTTACCTCTCTCCACTCTACTGCTCTGGAATGTATCCATGAGCGAGGCAAGATCTCCATCCTTACCAGGAGATTTAAAGGGGGGAATGGACTTAATCGCCCATATCACCCTTTCATACCTTACTACTTTTTTGGCGGTGTCGTGCCCAGCGCTAATCGAGGCCCGAACGCCGGCCAAGACAGCGTTGTTTGAGCTGGAGCGCGGGAAGTGCGTGCGGAGCATGACCTCCAGGGCTTCCTGTTCGTTGGTCGTGAAGCCACAGCCCGGAAGAAGCAGTGACCCTATTCTACTACTGGATTCCTTTGACAGAGCCTTGCAGAGGCGAGCTGCTGGGGATATTTTTTCAACATCCCCGCAGTATTGCCTCCAGCTCTGTCTCTTGGAATCCCTGAGCGTCTTTTTGTACTGCCTTTGGGCTGCGTGAAACGCTTCCCAGTCGGCGACGAGTTTGGAGCGTTCAGTCCTTCTCAAGAGCCGGCGCGTGATGTTCCGATGGAATTCCGTAGTGTGGCTCCATCAGACATTTTTTTCATTTTGGGGTTTTTGTCCTAGTGGACCGCTACCCTCGTATGCCCGGAGAGTTGAGCTGTACAGTTTGTTTATGCTTTCCCGTGCTGTAAATTTGCCTGTAGAAATTTTATTGGCATGTTTAATATGATTAAATTATATGTTCTAAATAATACACGGTCGCCTAACGATCAAACCGGAGGTTGACAATTAGTATTGGTACTTACCAGCAGCAGATGTTGGCTGCTTGCAGGGGTGGGGGAAGATGAAGTTCAGTCCTCGGAGCTGGAGGAGCCCTCCTCCATTTCCTCTGGCCTATTTTCTACCTTCCCAGCGTCGGAGGCCGCTTGGTCGGTGCCTGTAGCCTCCTCGTTATTGGCAGTTTCCCCGCCTGTCTCCTTAGGGGGGACCGCCTGGGTGCCATTGACCTTTTTGCTCTCCATGAGGGAGATAGAAGCCCTGGTGATGCTACAAAATAGCGAGCCACCCTTCTCCCTTATGTCTACGGCCGACTTTTCGTCGACCCCAACCACGAGTCTGAGGTTTTTAGCCTCTTCCTTGCGCTCCCATACCCTCCATTGGGAGCACCGGAGGCCAGGGTTCTGACTTTCCAGGAGCTTTAGAGTTTCCTGATTAGACTGGTGTCTTCTACCAGGGACCCGTAGGATCGCCCGGTGCAGACGCAATATGGAGGGGTCCAGTGTGACCAGCGTGACCCCCTCCCAGGGAGTGAAGTTTGGGAGCTCCCTTCGGAGCCACTCAAAACTTTCACGGTTTGCGGCCGTGACCAGGATGTGATTCCTGACTAGCCGGAGGGAGAGGAACTGCGGCAGTTGAGACCCGCTGCTGCCCAATGGTGAGCGCAACAGAGCCTCAGTTACTGCGTCGATGAAATCGAGCAGTTGCTCGTCCGTAAAACCGGTATCGGGTTGTTCCGCCCGGGTTACGGCCAGCTGCGGTCGTGCGCTGCCTAAGAATTGCGCGTAGCTCGCGCTGGGCCCAGCCACCTGGGTGGTTTTGGGTCTTTTAGCACCGCTCGCGCGCTCGGTAAGCGTGGAGCCTGGAGTTCTCCGCCGTTTCGCACGCGGATCCTATGCCTCCTTTGTGGAAGCCCTGGGTCCGCTTTTGGGAAGAGGGGTGAAAGCCGGGGCAGCCAAGGAGGCCGGGGCCGAAGAGCCCTGTGCCTCTTGGGCAGCCCTAGCTTTCCTCCTTCCCTTCTTCTCCGCACCACTTATGTTGCGGCGATTAAGCCGAGCACTGTCAAGGGCGCCAGCGAGGTCATCAACGTTCGTTGCCTTGGAAGGGCCATACTTGGAGGGTCCTTCCGACGAAGTGTGTGCCAAGATCCCTGGTTGGGCAGAGCTCTCGAAGGGGCCGGACAGCTATCGCATTCCCTGTGTTCACAGAGCCTGCGACGGTGCTGGAAGGAGAGGTAGTGGTGGTAGAGGGGGGCAGGGTTAATTGTTTTTTATTTGAATGGTCCATAGTAGGTCCCACGAGTGGTAAGAGAAATAAAAGTCCGCTACGACAGAGCCCGGCATGTCGCAGTAAGGCTAAATACTGCGGAATGTCGCCTGGTTTTCCGCAGGCATCGTTCACGATACCTGATTGGGGCTCAGGTATCTTACATCCCTCGGCACGGTGGCTTCCACCTTGGATTAAGCCCTGTGAGCCGTCTTTAGCAACTGCTGCCCCTCGCCTGCCCAGAAGGCGAGCTCGGGGAGAGGCGGCCGTTGGGCCCCCCCACCAGCGTCAAGGTCTCAGGGCTCCTCGGGGGGGAAGCAAACATTATTTAGATGAGTATATTATAGTTCACTGTTGGAGGATAGAATAGTTATTTACCTTGATATGTCAATGTTTTCATATATTCTAAACGAAAGTTTTATTTAGCATTGGTATTTTTGTCCACAGCGATGTAGGAAAATACGTTTCAGATATTCCTTTTGCATAAGCTAGCAGTATTTCTTCACTCATCCTGTGTATGTTTTTATTCTGACGCCACTTTACGAAATTGTCATATTCCTGCTGATATCTCTGTTTGGTTCTTTCCGGAAATAAATTGTTGGTGGCCTCAGCTGCTTCTTTCCGTACATCTGAGGGAATTTCGTTCTTGATTATTTCTTCCATCGCTGAATTTTTTTATACTTAATCAGTCAAACTGACAATCGTAGAATCTGATAATAAACAATAAGTTAAGCATAGTTTGTTATAGTTTCCATAGTAGTTTCTAAGGATATCGATGTGGTTGCTAGGGAACTTCTCGAATATTAAATTGTTGTAGGTGGTAAATAGGAGCCGGCCGATAAAATAACGGCCGGCGGCCGTTAAAGATAACTCTTCGATTTAATTTCGCGCCTGTTATAGTAAAATAACAGTACAGTATGACGAAAAAAACTTTATCGCCCTCCCGAGCGAATGGAACCTTCCACTCCCCTCTATCAGCGCCACGGCAGGCTCAGTGACCTTGTGGGATGTGGGAGTCCATTCTGCCGCACCCTGTATTAGAAAATATTATTCTATTATTCACAATATTTGAAAGCACTTCTTTCCGAATTTACTTAATACTTATATTCGGAAAAAGTAAAACAAAGTTATTATGAAAATAAACTTTTATTCAATTAAATAACGAATACAAACCTTTTATGTTATAAAGTTAGTTCCGAGGTTAGTTCTAACCTTACATATTGGAGAAAAATTATTATTACAAAAATACAAACTAAATTAGAAAAATATTAAATAAAGAAACATAAACTTCTAAAAAAAAATGATAATTAATACTAGTAGGCATAACTAGCTTCCGTTTAAATTATAGGAACACTTTATATTCCTCTCTTCCAAGGTTGTTTGCCTCATCTTTTTAATTTTAGGCACGATTTTTTCATCGGGTTCCTGTTCAATTTTGTCGCACAAAGCCATCAGAATTTCATTTTTGTCATCATTCACTAGTACGTCATCAAAATTTCCTTCCATTAAAGGAATTTCAGTTTCAAATATTGCATCATTATTATCATCATAATAATCATCAGCATTATCATCATCATCATAATAATATTCATAATCATTATCTTGCTCCATTTCAAAAATTCTTTCTTCTCCGATTTCAAAGTTGCATTGATTGATTGCATTGTCATCAATATTGTTGATAAATCTCAAGAATTGAGGCATAAACTTACTCATTCTGGCCTCTGTGAACCCTTCAATTCCCAATTCCCTCAACTCTACTATAGTTCTGGGTGCGTATCTGACTATACTGGTCAGAATATTATCGGAAACCACCAGGTAAGGCATGCACCCGTTTATTGAAGCCAAACGACTTCTTTCCTGAATCAAAAGCTGCGACAATTGATCATCTGCATTGATGGCTGGGACAACAAAAGATGTCCAGGAATCTATATTTTGAGGAACATAACAATTGTCGCAGCAATCGTATCGGAAACCCAAATTGGGGGCCCTATCTTCGAAATACTTCAAAATGAAGGCCCGCCTACAAGTTTTGCTGAACAAATATTGTGTCATGTGATGCAGTAATTGTTGCTTGCAAAATTGGTCGCCGCCGCTTTTTTTAAACAAAAACTCGTGAACTCGAAGTCTACTGAATCGAAAAATGTTACACATTTTGATGGTAGACCATCTCTACCAGCTCTACCTACCTCTTGGTAATATGCTTCCAATGAGCCACTTGTTCCGTAATGTATTACATTTCTGACATCAGGTTTATCAATACCCATTTCAAAGGCAATTGTGGCAACAATTATCGGAACTTTATCTATTACAAATTGTTCATGAGCATGCTTTCTGACGCTCAAAGACAATCCGGTATGATAAGGCAATGACTTGAAATTATTCTTATTCAATAACGAACATATTTCTTCAGTATCAATACGTCTAATACAATAAATAATTGTAGGCCCTTCAAACATCCACTGGCCATCTTTGCGAATCATCACTTCTTGCAAATCACGCAAAACGCTCTGGCATTTAGGCCGCACTTTGAAATACAAATTGGGCCTGTCAAAGTCAGGACAAATCACTTGGGAATTTTGCAATTCCAAAACACTAATAATGTCCTCGTAGACATTTTTGGTTGCGGTTGCAGTGACAGCCAATACGTCCACATCCACAAATATCTCCTTTAAAATGCTCAACTTCCTAAACTCAGGCCTGAAATGTTGGCCCCAATTACTAACGCAATAAGCCTCATCAACGTCAATTAGAACCAATCGGCATCGCTTTTTAATCTCATACAACTGTTTTCTGAGCCAACAAAACTCTGGAGTAAAATACACTATTGAATAATCATTGTTCAAAATTCCTTCGATTGTAGCTGCTGGGTGGGCTTGGGCGCTGCCAAGTAAACAAGCTGATATATTTGCTACACTCAACGATAGAACTTGATCTTGCATTAAGGAAATCAACGGCGATATCACTAAAGTAGTCCCTCGGGAATATAAGGCCGGAAATTGGTACAGCAAAGAATTTCCATAGCCGGTGGCCCTAATGGCGAAATTGTCTTGTTTCTTGTTCAACATCGAACTTATTATTTGCCACTGAAACGGTCTGAATTGATGGTGGCCAAAATGTCTTGATAGAACATCTAAGGATCTTGGGTCAGGAGGACGATTGGCCGGATTGATATCCATCACTTGAGTCGGTTGCGAGTAGATGTCTTGATTTAGTAAAAAGTTCTGTCTGTGGGCCGGAACTAAATCTATTACTTGAGTCGGTTGCGAGTGGATGCCATGTACATTTTCCCATTGCGAGACCGCATTGTTTAGTAGTTTGTCGTTTGAAGAATCCATTAGTGTTTCTGGTCCTACAAGAGAAAAATCAGAGTAAACTTTCCCACGTTGTTACGTTAATCGGATTCCGGCTCACATTACGGGAACAAATTTTATAGAATCAGGTGTTGGCAAATTAACCAAACCTTAGGGTTTGTAACTTTCTCTTGATGTGAAAACTTTTCATAGGAGTTCAGATACATTCAAATTTAACACTTTTGGATAGGAGGACGTTAAAGAAGAACCTTTGCATAAATCTGTATAGCTTATAGATGAAAAAAAAAAAAAAAAAACAAAGGAAAAAAAAATATATAAAAAAAAGATTTGAAAAAAAAATATTAAAAAACAAAAAAATTAATAAATAAAAGTGAAATTGAAATGAAAAAAAAAAAAATAATAATAATAATAGTAATATTAATTTAAAAAAAATATATAAAAATTACATGCATCGAGACAAATGTAAAGTGTAAATCACCCTAATACTAATATAGAAATGACTCCAAAAGAGTATATAAAGACGAAGCTGGCCATTTGTTTGTTAACAGTGCCATATACAAAAAAAAAAAAATTGCTCGAATGTACGCCACTGTTATCACACTGTTCCTGACAGCCCCCTCAACCTTCCCAGTTAATATGTATCTAATCCCATATAGGCTCGTTCAGCATATTTTTTTATTACATATTCTAAAAGAGCGTATTGAGTTTAGCAGTTGTGCAAAATTTCATAATTTTCCGAGCCCTTGTTCATATTTAAATAAATTATCAAAAAGCTCCAAGTTTGGAAATTTCGAAACACGCGGTGTCGTCACTGCATCTCTCAAGTTGGCGTCACACGACGCCTTTAGCCCGTCTTGACTTGCGAGATGACGTCATACCATCTCTAAGCGTTGAATTTCTGAGGCATAATGTTTTATTATTCAAAGCCGCATAACTTTTTTAATATTTATCCAATTGCGCTGAATTTTTTTTGTGTGCTATATGTGAGTAATACTCCATAAAAATATCAAAAAACGTGGTTAATGGAACCTCACTGAACGAGCCTATTGTCAGCAGAGCTATACAATGAGCTTTCAACATAAAGGGTGTCTCATTCAAAAAAACGTAAGTTTGGATCATAATTTTAAAACTATTAATTCTAGAGAAAAACTGACTACGCTACTGGACGCTACGTAAAAGTATCTATAGGAATTCGTTATCACCTTTTCGATCACTTATGAGAGAAGCGAGATACAAGAGTTGTCCGAAAATGCAAAATTTTGTATATTTTCATGTAAATGAAGATTTGTCTCTCATAAGTAATCGAAAAGTTTATTCTGATTTTTCTCTTTTAGGACCAGAAACACTAATGGATTCTTCAAAGGACCAACTGCTAAACAATGCGGCCTCGCAATTAGAAAATGTACATGGCATCCACTCGCAACCGACTCAAGTAATAGATTTAGTTCCAGCCCACAGACCGAACTTTTCACTAAGACATCTACTCGCAACCGACTCGAGTGATGGACATCAATCCGGCCAATCGTCCTCCGGACCCAAGATCGTTAGATATTCTATCAAGACATTTTGGCCACCATCAATTCAGACCGTTTCAGTGGCAAATAATAAGTTCGATGTTGAACAAGAAACAGGACAATTTCGCCGTTATGGCCACTGGCTATGGGAAATCTTTGCTGTACCAATTTCCGGCCATATACTCCCGAGGAACGACTTTAGTGATATCGCCGTTGATTTCCTTAATGCAAAACCAAGCTCTATCGTTGAGTGTAGCAAATATATCAGCTTGTTTACTTGGCAGTGCCCAAGCCCACCCAGCAGCTACAATCGAAGGAATTTTAAACAATAATTATTCAATAGTGTATTTAACTCCAAAGTTTTGTTGGCTCAGAAAACAGTTGTTGTATGAGATTAAAAAGCGATGCCGATTGGTTCTAATTGCCGTTGATGAGGTCCATTGCGTAAGTAATTGGGGCTACCATTTCAGGCCTGAGTTTAGGAAGTTGAGCATTTTTAAGGAGATTTTTGTGGATGTGCCCGTATTGGCTGTCACTGTAACCGCAACCAAAAATGTCTACGAGGACATTATTAGTGTTTTGAAACTGCAAAATCGCCAAGTGATTTGTCCTGGCTTTGACAGGCCCAATTTGTATTTCAAAGTGCGGCCTAAAGAACAGAGCGTTTTGCGAGATTTGCAAGAAGATGATTCGCAAAGATGGGCAGTGGATGTTTGAAGGGCCTACAATTATTTATTGTATTAGACGTATTAATACTGAAGAAATAAGTTCGTTCTTAAATAAGAACAATTTCAAGTCATTGCCTTATCATGCCGGATTGTCTTTGAGCGTGAGAAAGCATGCTCATGAACAATTTGTAACAGATAAAATTCCAATAATTGTTGCCACAATGCCTTTGGAATGGGTAGTGATAAACCTGATGTCAGAAATGTAATACATTACGGAACAAGTGGCTCATTGGAAGCCTATTACCAAGAGGTACGCAAAGCTGGTAGAGATGGCCTACCATCAAAATATGTAACATTTTTCGATTCAGTAGACTTCGACTTTCACGAGTTTTTGTTTAAAAAAGCGGCGGCGACCAATTTCGCACGCGACAATTACTGCATCACATGACGCAATATTTGTTCAGCAAAACTTGTGCGCGGGCATTTATTTTGAAGTATTTCGAAGATAGGGCCTCCAATTTGGGGTTCCGATATGATTGCTGCGACAATAGGGAATTCTCATAGGAAATAAATATGGCTTATTTTGTTTTTATGGTGCACATTTTTCTGTAAAATATTGAATATAAACAGTTTTGTATTTAATTTATGGATATTATAGTCATACGGCAATTATTAATTTTAAATTGAAAAGTTTCGCGCGGAAAAGTTACGTTTAACATGGCCGCTTCCAGTGACGTCAACTGTTCGTAAACTAACGTTAAGGGTAGTTTACATTGATCGTAAATCCACGGTCCACACTTTCGTGGTTCACTCTTGAGTCGTGGAAGGATTGGTCCACGATCAGCTCACGTCACGCCACGACTGATATTGAACCACCATAAACGAGTCTATAGAGGGAAGATTGTCAGACTGCGCTTTTTTAAATCCTGTATCAACTATGATGAACTATTTGAAACACAAAATGTCACAATATGGCTCTAAATACGGAAATACCACATAATAACCGCTTTCAAGTTTTAATGCAGTCGAAAGTTCAAGCTATGCGATTCTTTCCGACAGTTTGCAAAGTGTCAAAGGCTCTTGTGAGAACAGACCTTAACGTTGTGTTTACAGACAGTTGACGTCACAAATTCCACCATCTTGGAGCTAATCGTTTTCGCGCCAACGAAAATAATTTGAAATTTAAAATATTTTTTTTATTTTAATGAGGACATAAAAAAAAAAAAACATAAACATTTCATATTTGAAAACATAAGCAATAAGAAAAAAAATACTTTGAAAAATATGATTGTTCCCTATTGTAGTGTTCCTCAAAATATAGATTCCTGGACATCTTTTGTTGTCCAGCCATCAATACAAATGATCAGTTGTCGCAGTTTTTGATTTAGGAAAGAAGTCGTTTGGCGTCAATAAACGGGTGCATGCCTTACATGGGGGCTTCTGATACTATTTTGACCAGCATGTTCAGATACCCACCCAGAATTATAGTAGAGTTGAGGAAATTGGGAATTGAAGGCCTCACAGAGGCCAGAATGAGTAAGTTTATGCCTCAATTCTTGAGATTTATCAACAATATTGATAACAATGCAATCACGAACTTTGAAATCGAAGAAGAAACAATTTTTGAAATGGAGCAAGATAATGATTATGAATATTATGATGATGATGATGATAATGCTGATGATTATTATGATGATAATAGTGATGCAATATTTGAAACCGAAATTTTTTTAATGGAAGAAAATTTCGATGACGTTCTAATGAATGATGATAAAAATGAAATTTTGATGGCTTTGTGCGACAGATTGAACAGAAACTTGATGAAGAAATCGTGCCTAAAATTAAAAAGATGAGGTGAACTTTGGAGAAGTGGAACATAAAGTGTTCCTATAATTTAAACGGAAGCTAGTTATGCCTACTAGAATTAATTAAAATTTATTTTTTTTTGAGAAGTTTGTTTATGTTTCTTTATTTAATATTTTTCTAATTTAGTTTGTATTTCTGTAATAATATTTTTTTTCCGTTATGTAAAGTTAGAACTAACCTCGGAACTAACTTTATAACATAAAAGGTTTATGTTTGTTATTTAATTAAATAAAAGTTTATTTTCAAGATGACTTTGTTTTACTTTTTCTGAGTATAAGTATTAAGTAAATTCAAAAAGGAGTGCTTTCAAATATTGTGAATAATAGAATATATTTTCTAATACAGGGTGCGGCAGAATGGACTCCCACATTCCACAATAAGGTCACTGACCCTGCCGTGGCGCCGATAGAGGGGAGTGGAAGGTTCCATTCGCTCAGAAGGGCGATAAAGTTTTTTTCGTAATACTGTACTGTTATTTTACTATAACATGCGCGAAATTGAAATCGAAAACATGTCTTCAACGGCTGCCGGCCGTTATTTTAACGGCCGGCTCCTATTTTTAAAAGTACCTATCTACCACCTACAACAATTTAATATTTGACAAGTTCCCTAGCAACCACATCGATATCCTTAGAAACTGTGCTTCACTTATTGTTAATTGTCAGATTCTATGATTGTCAGTTTGACTGATTATAAAAAAATTCAGCGATGGAAGAAATAATCAAGAACGAAATTCCCTCAGATGTACGGAAAGAAGCAGCTGAGGCCACCAACAATTTATTTCCGGAAAGAACCAAACAGAGGTATCAGCAGGAATATGACAATTTCGTAAAGTGGCGTCAGAATAAAAACATACACAGGCTGAGTGAAGAAGTACTGCTAGCTTATGCAAAAGGAATATCTGAAACGTATTCTCCTACATCGCTGTGAACAAAAATATCAATGCTGAAACTTTCGTTAAAAATATATGAAAACA